GCCCCGCCGAGGATCAGCGGAGGCTGGTGGCTGCGTCGCCGCGGTCACCCGATACGCCGGCCCGCCGCCCGGGACTCGGGTTGCAGAAGGAGGGGGGGAGGTTAGGCCGCCTGCTGGAAGCGGGGGGAGGGGCTGCGGCTTGGAATCTAGCCTCTGGTCCTCTCCCAGGGTCCTCTTCAGCCTCCCACTCCCAAAGGTCTGGCCTAGGCTGGGGGGTGGGGGGGAGGAGAGTGTCCTGTCTCCCGACCTGTCACCCTCTGAGATCATGGCCTCTCCCCATCAGGGTCTCAGGGGCCACCGCCCCCCTCCTCAGCTCTCCTGTGACTCAGTTCCCAGCCGAGTCCGGGAGGCCTAGGATGCCTGAGCTTCCCTGATGGCCTCTGATCCTGCTGTGCTGTGCAACTCTGGCATTTGCTGACCCTCTCTGATCCTGCACTTTACATAAAGGAGCCTCAGACTCAGCCATGGAGAAGTGTGATAAGCACCAAGCAGCGAGTGATGACAAAATCCTATGAACGGCCACTTTCCTCTGTAATCACAAAGCCCTGGGGCCAGGGTCTCCTCACACTCATAAGGAATTTCTCCCAACAGGGCAAATCCCAGATGCAAACAGGCCTAGAGCCCCATGACCTGGGACAACTGAGCTCACCAAGCTCATCCTCACGCCTTTCCGTCACCGCAACCATATCTAGTGCCAAGACACATCATCTGGAGAGGGCCTCCGTATGCCCCAGGCACATCACACCTGTCTGCTGCCCCATCACCATCCCCCTCACAGCCCTGTTTTGGTCTCCACGTGCACTTGGCCACTCAGGACAAGTCTGTCCCATTTGCCGTCCAGCCCTGGGGGGCAGACACATCTTTGTTCCCCAAAGTGCAGTCAAGATGGGGCTGAAAGCCAGGAAGGGAAGTGGGCGGAATGCCCTGTGGGTGATGCCAAGCGTGCCAATCTGTTGCCAGACTTGAGTTACGCTCCGCTAAAACGACCGTGCTCTGGAGCCTTGTCCTCTCCTAGGCTGTCACGTCTTTCCTTCTAATTCTCCTTGAAAAAGTCAAGCCTTGCCTGTCTCCAGGGGCAGGAGGGTGTGTGAGGAAGTGAAGCTGGTACCCATGCTACCCCTTGGATTCCCCGTTTCTACATCTCGTCTGCCTCCTACAGCTGGACACCCTCAATCCAAGGCCCCCCTCAGGGTCTGCCCCCTCCCGGGCTGCAACTCAGACTCCCTTTTCCTTCCTCCCTGTTGGGGCCCCAGATGCCTATTTTTCTCCCATGGCAATGTCCAGGCCTGAGCTGGGAGCCCAAGCCTTGCCTAAGCGTGCCCCTGTCTAAGCTGAGATCCGTCTTCCCATCAGGGGAAACTGAGGCTTGATGAGGAATCAAGGAACAAATTCAGAACAAATGGCTAGATGCCAAAGTCCTCTACAAATTGGAAACTAAGCCTTGAACATACCAAGAAGGGTGATAGACATTGTGAAGAACTTCCTGATGGTAAGACCTCAGGGGAAGGCTGGGTCGGCTCAGAGATGGAAAGGTAGCGTGAGGTGGGGGGTATGGGAGTGAGGTGGCCTACGGTGGGGGTGGGAACGGAGTACAGAGCATAAGAGTCTCCTGAAAACCGATGGGATGACGGTGGGGTAGGTACTCCTGTTTAAAGGAGAAAAGAATCCAAAAAAAATTTTTTTTCAAAACCTGAGGATTCCCCCTCAAAAAATTCCTTCCCCAAAGCCAAACCTTTGTGGAGGCAGTGGTAGGAATCAGACAATCGGGGAGAGTACAGGGCATAGGAGTCTCCTGGAACCGGGGGGGGGGGGCCTCTTACATAAGAGAAAGGGATGCAAAATTAAAATCCTAGATATTCCCCCCTCCAAAAAAAATGTCTTCCCCAAAGCCAAACTCTGCCAGGGGCTTGGGGGGCCTGGGGGCAGTGGGTGACTCACCTGGGCCGGCTGGCCAGCCCCGGACGGGGCGGAGTCGCCATGGAGGTGGGAGCAGAGGGAGCTGAGGAGGCACACGGGGTCCACGGTCCAGCCGCCAACCTGTGTGTGCGAAGGGGGGGACACCCCATTAGGGGGAGCGGGCAGGAGCCGCTGGGGGACTGTGATGGGGCGGGGAGGGACATTCCTGGGACAAGCTTTGGCACAGAGCTCACACCCCAGAGGGACCTGCAACACTCGCTAGTCCCTTCCCGAGGCTGGATCTCTAACGAGAGCCCCTGGTCTCTTTCTGGATGTTTCTCTTCTGTCCGACTGGGGGGCTCTCTGAGCCCAGGAGAAGGCCTCCTCCATCAGATACTCCTGAATTCCTTTTCTTCACTTCTTGACAGGCTCCCTGTGCACTTTGCCAGCGAGCCGTTCCTCACCTGTCTGCTCTTCCAGCTCCTCATTCCCTCCGCTCTGAAGATGTCACCTCCTACCTCACAGAGACGGGAACCATTCCGCAGGGGTCCTCACCTCCCTGTGCCTTTGCAGTGACAGCCCCCCCTTCTTCCCTGTCAACTCCCACCCCGGGGCCACACCACACGTAAGGCTTGAAACCCATCACCTCCTGATTCCCCAGGACCTTTTCCCCCCCCCGAGGCCCTCGCCCCCCTCGGCATCCCCAAATTCATTCATCTTCATTCATTCCACTGCCATTCACCCAGCCGGCACTACCCTTAGGCGCCGGGCCCTCCCCGGCCAGGGAACCGCTGTAGGTCCTACCCACTCACACTCTTAACGGAGGGAATGAATGAGTGAATGAACAAAGGAATGAATTTGTGAGCGAATTGCTGTGCTTTGACTCATCTACTAAGTATTTGCTGAGTGTCTATCTGTGCAGGGGACCATGCCAGACACTTCTGAGGCCCTCCAACGCACCCACACGTCCCCTCTCAGGCCTGCTGCCCCCTGAGGCCATCACCCCCGCTGTCTTCATCTTTTTATGGCCAAACCTCCCAGACCGATCTGCGCCCCAGGTCGTGCTCTCTCGCCACCTCCAATTTCCTCAACCCCTGAAACGGGCCATTACCTCGCCACACCACGAGAGATGAAGGGTATCCTCTGGACCCACAGATCCCAGCCAGTCCCGATGGCTCTTTCTCTCTCTCTCCCCCTCACCTCGGGCTGACTTCTGAAGTGCAGGTCATCCTCCTCCTGGGCCTTTCTCCTCTTCCTCATGATGGGAGAGAATGTTCCTGGCTCCTCCTTACCACTGTCATGGCCTTCTCCCCAGTCAGACTCCATTCTGCCTGGTGGCCCCACCGATGCCCCGGTGGCCCCGCTTATGCCCTGGGTCCCACTGCCATTCTGCCTTGATCAGCACGCTCAATCTCCTCCCGAAGCTGTTGTCCCTTCAGAGTCCTGGGCTGTACATACGGCGCGCCTAATGGGCATCCCAGTGAATGTTCTCCCTGCTCTGCAAACTCACCTCCCATATTCCTGTCTCCCATCCTCCAAATGTTTCCTTCCCACCCCCTTATTTCTCCCCTAGGCACCGATATCTCCCTGCTACCGAGGTTTTCTGTCTTTGGCTCCGCGGTCCAGTCAGCAAACAAGCCTTGGTCAGTCTTCTCTCCAGTCCCCCATCCCTTTCCCTTCATCTCCCTAACACACTCTCTTCCTCCTCTCCTCCTCTGCCTCCCCCCATTGCCCCCTCCTATTCACCACCCAAAAACAACCACAGCCCTCCTAGCCACCACCATCTGGCCCCACTTTTCCAGTCTGCCCCCCATCTCCCACTGCCTCCCACCCTGAGCCTTCAGCACCAGCCAGGTGGGCCTCTGTACCTGCCCCCAAACCGACTCAGGACCATGCCCACCTCTTATATCCCAGCTTCTAAAATAGCATTCTCTTCCTCGATGCCCATTCAGACCCTTTTCATCCTTCTAAGCCTAGTTTAGGTACCTCTTCCTCCAGGAAGCCTTTCCTGACCAGGCCTGCCTACTGGGTCTTCCCTTCTCTAAACCCCCTCCCAACTGACTTTGCCCCTCCTACTTTCAGTGTAAGCATCCTTTCACCCCCTCCAGATCACAAGTGTCCCTGCCCCCTCCTCCCAAGCCAGAGCACATAGAAGGAACCCAAGAAGAGGGGCTCCCTGAGGGTGAGGGCCATATCTCCATCTGCAACTCTCCCTTATTCCAATCAGAACTCTGCTCCCAGGAGGACTCGGAAGCTGGGAAAAGGCAAAAGCAAGACAGAACTGGAGGTGACATCAGGGGGGAAGCGCGCCAATGTGTCCTTGTCCCTGCTGTGACAATAGGAGTGGGGACACTCTTCCCCTTTCCCAGCCACACCCAGCAGCCCCTGGAAAGGGGGACGGAGCAAGACAGGTGTGGGAGCAGGGACTGACACCCCCAGGCCCGACTGAAATAGTGTGGATGGGATGTACCGCCCTCCCCTCCTCTGCCTCTCCCCGAGCGGACAAGGCCTGGGTCTCCTAGGCCATCAAGGCATCTCACCAATGTGGGACTGTAGGCAGAAGGCTTGTCCCAAGAAAGAACTTTCCTACAGACAAGAAAGTCATACTTGGATGGAGAGGTACATCCAGGAACCCAAGGATTTGGGAGAGGTTTACAAGGGAAGCAACCCATCCCAGATAGAAGGAGGCAGGCCCTGGTCCAGAAGCAGGCACCCTGACTCCTCTGTAAGCCTTACTGATGGCAGGAGAGAAACCAAGGCAGCGTCTAGGTCAAAGTCACACAGCGAGTCTTGGCAGGGGTGGGGGGACAGGGAGGGAGGAGGTAAAGGCCCCAGGAGTTCTGGGCTTGTTCTTACAGGGGCTCGGGGCACAGCAGATCCAGCCTACTGAGGCTCCCAAGAGGGCCGTGTCACAGAGGGGCCACCCCGGGAGTCTCAGCTCCAGGCGGGACGGACCTTCAGGCTGGGAACAGTCAGTCCCCAAGACGGTCCCCTCCTCCTCCCCACCACTTCTTTGGCCTCCAAGACAACCTTCCTGCCCGTCAGCCCAGTCCAACCGCCCCTCTGCCTCTCTGCTCCATCCAGTGCTCCCAACTCCGGGACTGCAGGCAGAGGTCAGGAGGCTGAGCCCCCATCCCCTTCCTCCCCAGACTCCAGAAAAGGCCAACCAGGGCGACTCCCTGACTCCCCCTCTGTCGGGCTCTCTCCTCAGACGCCCCACCGAATCAGGGCCCCGGGGGCAGGGGAGCACGGGGCAGACCCCTCCCCAGCCCACAGCCGGCCCCCACTCACCTGCTCACGCATCCTGTCCTGCTGGCCCCGCAGGGCCAGGGCGTGCTGGGGGTACTTGTTCTTCAGGTGGTCCATGAAGGCATCGCGCTTGCGGTCGGCGTCCGCCTTCTGGAGCCCGCTGAGCGCCTCCAGGCTCTGGGCGGCGATCACCGTGTGCCTGCGCTCCGACGTGTGCACCAGCCCCACGTTGGAGAAGCGCCGGCCCCCGCCGCCCGCGCCGCCCCCGCCCCCCAGGGTCCGGTACTCCCGTGGGTACTCCGCATCGTCCGCAGACAGCATGGGGGGGCTGCTCCGCTCCGGATCTGCGAGAGGGGAGAGGGGGCACGGCGGGGTCACGGGGCGCCCGGCCTGGGGCTGCCCAGCCCTCACCGGGGGTCACTGCGGGGGGACGGGGGAGCGGGGGACGGGCAGGCCTAAGGCGGGGCAAGAGGCGCCAGGCTGAGATGAGAAGGGCTGTCCACCCCCCAACTAGGGGACCGAAGAGGCAGCAGGGGGAGGGGCTCCAAGGAAGTTGGGGGGCAAGGGCAGGGTCCGGCTTCGTGCTCTGGCTTCGTGCTCTTCTTCGTTTGGAAGGGTAATGACTGCAGGTGAGGTGCTGTTTTTTGAGGCCAAGGAGAGGTTGGAAGCAGGGGTCCTGAACATCTCTAGCCATGCGTCCCCTTCCTCCTTCCTACTGCTGGTGTGAACAGGTGAGGGAAGGGGCGTTTCCTTTAGATGGTTCCTGAAAGATGTGGAAAGGAGCCTGCCCAGTCTTCCTTTCATGAGCATCCTTTAAGGAGAGGTGTGTGTGCACGTGTTGGGGGCAGGGGGAGACCCAAGCCTCCCCCCTCAGACTAGAATGTCCAGGACATACTTGTCCTAAAGGCTGGGACTGGCTTGGAAAGGGGCCAGGACTAGGATACTGGAGGCAGGAGTAATGATGGCAAGGAGATGGAGGCCCAAGGTCCGGGGCATGGGACCCTCCCTTTTCCCTCCCTCCCCAGAGACAGCAGATGGACAGACAGGGGAGGCTGGGCACAGAGAGGACAGTGAGAGAGAGATGGATTTGGGACAAACTCAAAGGAGAAAGAAAGCACACAGAACAGCTCAAGCCCTCCCCCCGGAACCCTTCCCTCCCCCTGCCCTCCCTTTCCTCAGTCTCCCCTCCCAACACACACACACACACACACACACACACACACACAAGTTCAAGACCTTTAAGGGATGCACAGGGGACAAAGGACAGTACAGAAGCAGAAAAAAAGAGAAGGCCGGGGGTTGAGGTCCCCATGCAGAATTCTGAATCCTTTTCCCATATGCCCACCATCCCTGAGCTCCTAACCTCACCAGGCCCAGCCCTGCTGTCTCCCACCCTCCAGCCTCAAAGTTCACTTTTCCACAGCCCAGCAGGGGACAGGGGTTCCAGAGTGCCACCCATGCCAGGCATGGTGTCGCCCACAGCAGGTGCCAGGTGTCTCCCCATTGGGAGACAAACACAGTCTCCCCGGCATACCCCCAGCCCCACCATCCACCAGTCTCAAAGCTGCACCCCCCAAGTATAGCCTAGGTCCAGGGCCATCGGGCACTGCAGCAGACAAATGCACCCCCACACAGGGGCTGACTCGCAGGGCCAAGTGGGGCAAAGAAGAGGAGGCTGGGGATTCTGGGACCCAGCCATGTTCCATCCAGTTGCCATGCCTCATTGGTCCCCTTCCTCCACACATCCACCGTGCATTAGGCCTGCTGCCAGGCCTCAGTCACCTCCTGTGAGCCACAGGGGGAAAGAAGAGATTCAGCCACATTTCAGGAAAAGCCACCCCTCACCCAACACAAACAAACACACACACACACACCACACACACACACACACACACACGCCTCCTGAGCCTGTGGCTGAGGCATGTAGATCTGGGGGACAGCCTTTGAGGACCCAGCACCTCCCACCAAAAGTAAGGGAAGAATCGCTTCCACAGACACCGAGTTCCATGGCTTCCAAAGGCCTGACTGACCGCCATCATCATGGCCATCAACACCCTTTTGGGGGGCGGGGAAGGTTATCATTGTGGCCCCATTTCAGATATGGGGCTGCTGAGGTTAGGGAAGTCCAGTGACATGCCCAAAGCCACAGTGAGTGATAGAGGCTAGATTTGACCCCAATATTTATTAGGTTGGCCTCATCCCCTCCCACCACACTTTCTCACCAACGCCTATTGACAGAACAATGGCATCACCAGAGGGCACTAGGTGTTCGTCTCTGTTCATCTGCCCCCTCCCCAGCCTGGCACTGGGTCTCAGGTCCCTCCTGCCTCCCCCCCACCCAGGCATCTGTCCTTCTCGCTGCAGTCATCATCCTCCGGCATGCTTCCCAAAGTGAGGTCCCGATACACAAGAACGGACCTTGGGAGGGACACTGTTTCACAGTTTAATACTTATACCTTTATTTTCATAAGGATTAGGAAAACCCCAAATAGAAGATCCAACCACTGATTTCATGGATATCATTCCTTGGGAAGGTAAAGAGATAAGGTTTCCTTTTAAGTAAATTTATTTAGGTTCAAAGGGAGTTAAGGAAAAACATTGAGTTAATATGGTGCAGAGGGTCCCTGATCTGGAGGAAATTCTCAAAGATGGCCCTTGATTGAGTGGGGCTGGGAACCCTGGGACCATTGTCTTGAAGGCCTAGTCCCTGCCCTTGAGGAGCTTGGTGGCAGTCCAGGGTCCCAGTGAATGTGGCTGGAAAGGAGTCACCTGAATAATCATCCAGGAAGAGAGGCTAAGATGGGGGTGCTCTAGGCACCGGAGAAATAGCCCTAACCAGAGTCAGGGGGCTGCCTCCCATGACCCTTAACCTCTCTCTTCCACTTACTCTCAGCACCTGTGGAGATTTGCATTAGGTACAACTGAACAGGAGGAGACCCCCCCCCCATAACCATAGCCCTCTCTTTGCCCAGGCAGGAGCAGATTCTGCCCGCCTGCTTTGCTGCTGTAACCCCAGGTCTAGAGTCTGGCCCAGCCCAGCCAGAGCCAGAGGGATCTCCTTCCTTGTGCCCGACAGCCAGGCTCACAGTGCCCTCTAAGGGCTCTGGACACACACAGGTGCAGGGGACAGGTCTCCAATTCTCATCTCGCACCGCCCCCCCCCCGCCCTCCTGCTCTCTGGGAGCCAGAAGAACTGCTCATCCCCATCCCCACCCTCCGAGCCGGCACCTCCTTCCCTGGTTCCTAGTGGGAGATCTCAGCAAGTTTGGGCCGAGGCAGAGAGCAGCAGGGACTGGGGGAGATCCAGGGGTCATGTTGGTTCAAGGGGCAAGGCAGGCTGGCAAGGAGGGGTCCGGGCTGCTAGAGCACTCAGTGGAGGGGACCGTGGACGGGTTCTTGCAGCCCTATTTATGACTGCAGTCTCATAAATCCCACTGCAGGCGCAGCGCTGGGAGTGGGGGAGAGTAGAGCCAGGACTGTCCCTGCCTTCTTGGGGTCAGGGCTCAGCCCTCAGGTGCCCAGGCATGGGTGGAGGGAGGAGGCAGGGGTGAGGCAGGAGCTGGATTCTGGGGGGTGGCAGAGAGAGGGGCAGGAGGGGCAGGAGAGACAATCTGCTAACTCTGAGGGGTGGTGGGAAGGAGGGGCTTGGATTTGCAAAGCTCTAGCATCTCTTTAAGAACCTTTGAGATCCTCAGCTTTATTTAACAAAGACAGAAACTAGCTGGGTGGGGGTGGGTAGGGGGGAAGAGGTGAGGCTCCTGCTCTGTGCTTATTTCACTCCTTTCTGCAGGGCCCCAGGGGACTGGGAGGACTGACCTGGGGTTCTGGGCTACAGGGCCATCCTATTACCCTTAGGAGAAGGAGGCCCGTGGGGCTCAGAGGACTCAGGCATGAGCTTCTGTCTTTGAGTCACAGGCACTCGAGGTCAGGGCACTGGGAGGAAAAGAACCCCAGGCCAGAGACACCCTGGGTTTCAAGTCAGCTCCTTCCCCGAAGGACCCTGGATTAGCCTTTCATTTAGTTACTCATTCAGTCAACAAATCTCTTCCCTCTCGGAGCCTGAGGGCACTAATCTGTAAAATGGGGATGTTCCCCTCTAAACCCTGCCCCTGTCTCGCAGGCCTTGAGAAGCTGGCAAGACGATGGAGGAGAAAGTGTGTTGTTTTGAATTAAAGGCACTCCTGGCACATCGGCTCCTGGGTCCCAGCAAGACAGGCTTTCCGGTACCTCTGCACCTGCTCCAGCCACCATTGAGTCCCCAGAGTGGCCCTGACCCTCCCCAGACTGAGCAGCCCAGGGAAAAGTGCCAGAGATCGATTCCAATCTAGCAAGCAGCAGGCTCTGGACACCCTGGCCCTGAGCAGACCAATGCTTCCCGTTCAGTGGCAGGGGCGGTGAGGGGTCCATATGGGCAGGGGTCTTGAGGGTGTGGCAGAGGGGACAGATGAGACAGAGAGGCCTTGAGGGGGTAAGCAGGGACATGGGAATTGAAGGTGCAAAAGAAGGGCAGGCGGCTCTGAGGGAAGGGGAAGGGGTGGGGAGGCTGCGGAGGAGGAACCGAGCTGGGGTACACTGGGGAAGGGAGGTTGGCACTGAAGGCCCCTGAGAGATGGAGGCTGGGGGAGCCGGAGAGAGAGGTTGGGGTCAGAGGAGTTACCATCTGTCCAAGGTCACCCAGGTGTGCAAGGCCGATCATAACTGTCTTGTTGGAGATCCAAGCCCCAGAGAAGATGCCCGAGACTGGTGCAATCCAGCTCAGAATGAGGGGGGCGGAAAAGTGGGGAAAGGGGGTTCTGTCACCCTCAGCTCAGCCTTCCCAGCCTGGGCCCAGGCGAAGGGACACACACTTGAGGCTGGGGTGACAGGAGGAGGTGGGCGCCCCCCAGTGGCCGACCAAGGATAAAGGCGCACGCGCTTGGGAAGACGGCGACAATGTTCCTCCAGTTCCAAATTCCACCTTTATTTATGAGCCTGATTTATTTTTATCCTCCTCTGCATTTTTTTACATGAGATCACTGTAACTCATGATGAGAATGAAGATCCCCAAGTTTTAGTGACACCATCTCATTAGCCACCAAGCCCACCCCATCTCGTGTCTTTACCCCAGATGTCACTATTCTGTCCTCTGGCTGCCACTGGGCAACATTCACACATGACATCATCTTCAGAGGAAGGGAATGTGGAGAAGAGGAAGGGGGGGGAGAGGGAAGAAGAGCAAGGAAGGGGAGGAAGTGGACGGAAGAAAAAGGAAGCTACAAGATCCAGAAAAGAGAGGTCTCTCTCTGGGGCCCCGGCTGTGAGGACCCCAAGCTCAAGACCCAGAGTTTAAGTCCCTGACTCCCTG